ACCTACAGCAGCCGGAGGAGAGTGACCTCTACAACCTGCAAAATTGCTCCATTGGTGAATGTGATTGATAACACACCCTAGGGGAGGGAGAAAGAGGGTTATAATTGGAGCGTAAATTACGTAGGATCAGAGCTGGCTTCACTTGGGAACGTGCCGACACGAAGCTCCTAATAAATGACTGGATTTCTTTTGAAGCTTGGTTCAAGTCTCAGGATTTTATTAGGGCAGCCATCAGAACTCTGACAGGTATGATTTGATATCTCTGAATGTAGACTCCATAAAAATCTGACTTCAGATTGAGGGTTAAAATTCTATGTGGTCTGAGCTCCTGTTCTTGATTGTCTCTGAATTCCTGTGACCCATTCAGCTTTAGATTTTGGGAATGTTTCCAAACTCCTTTTGTGCCGAATGTTTGAATTTAAAGACTTTTCAAGTTCTTTGGTCTGACTAACAATTCCTGACTCAAGCTACCACCATCTCTTCTTCATTTCAAGCAGCATGACTTCTGGCCCAAAGCCAGATTTTGTAATTAATTTCTGAACATCTCTGAAGTGAAAGTCTTGCCATCTAATTTGAAACCAAGTTGGAACTTGTGACTCATTTTGTGCAGAATATAGTCAGCAGAAAAACATTTTCCCATCGATTAGTAAATTTCTAATTGAATAAAGAGCTCCCTCTTCCCACTCCCTGAAAACTTCTGATTTATCTGGGTGCTTCAAATGTGCCTGATAATGAAATTGAAGATGATGTAAAGGAACAAGACCAGAGTTTATGTTCACTTTGGGCACATATCTATGTTGAATTTTAAATATGAATTGATCGTAGTTAGATCTCTTTCTGAGTTACTGTTTTCACTTGCCTGTTCAAAAGGTCAACAAATCTGTTAGAAAAAGGCTTTCCTGTCCAATTAGATACATCTACCGCTCCCCATCCCATAGTACTGTGATGGCGAACCTATGGCATGCGTGCCACCGGTGGCACGCGGTGCCATATCACTGGGCACGCGAACTTAGCTGATTTTCGGGCCTTCTGGGCCCACCGGAAGTAGGAAAACAGGCTGTTTCCTGCCTCCAGAGGGCCTGGGGTGGATGGGGAAGGCCCGTTTTTTGCTCTCCCCAGGCTCCAGAGCCTCTCTAGGAGCCTGGGGAGGGCAAAGACACCCTTCCCCACCCCCCGGGAGACCCTCCGGAGGCCGGAAATGGCCCGTTTGCTGACTTCTGGTCCCTTCTGGAGCCTCGGGAGAGTAAAAAATGGGCCTACTGGGCCCATTGTGCCATCACATGCCAAACGCGTGGGGAGCGTGAGTTCACACATGCGCAGTGGGCGGGGCGCAAAGAATTATTGTTGTGGGCATGTGCACATGCTCCCCCCATGCTCCCCCCACTTTTGGCACGCGATGGCAAAAAGGTTAGCCATCACTGCTATAGTAGGTTGCAATTGAGTCCTTATTAATATTGCAAAAAAGAACTATTGGTGGGTAACCAAAGTAGAAAACTGGCGCATATCCACAAAGTTTGTGATAAAATGGTATGCTATGAATACGTCTTGTATAGACTGCAGCTACTTATAGAATAGAATAAGAGTTGAAAGGAACCTTGGAGGTCTTCTAGTCCAACCCCCTGCTTAGGTAGGAAACCCTACACCACTTCAGAGAAGTGGTTATCCAACATCTTAAAAGCTTCCGGTGTTGGAGCATTCACAACTTCTGGAGGCAAGTTGTTCCACTGGTTAATTGTTTGTTCTAACTGTCAGGAAATTTCTCCTTAGTTCTAGGTTGCTTCTCTCCTTGATTAGTTTCCACCCATTGTTTCTTGTCCTGCCCTCAGGTGCTTTGGAGAATAGCTTGACTCCCTCTTCTTTGTGGCAGCCCCTGAGATATTGGAACACTGCTATCATGTCTCCCCTAGTCCTTCTTTTCATTAAACTAGACATACCCAGTTCCTGCAACTGTTCATCATATGTTTTAGCCTCCAGTCTCCTAATCATCTTTGTTGCTTTTCTCTGCACTCTTTCTAGAGTCTCAACATTATATCTGCCAGTTCCTTGGGACAATCAAGGTTCCTTCTGAAGTTCTATGAAATGTGAAGTCCTGCAAATGCACAGTACATCTTTTGATAAGAAGGCTTGGAAAGGTCTAACCCTGTTCGTCATGTACACCATCTTTATGTGCACGACTGCATTCCCACTCACACTAGTAATACTATTACTAAATTTGCAGATGATACAACAGTGGTGGGACTCATTTCTGGGGAGGGGGATGAGTCTGCCTATCGAGATGAGGTGGACTGGTTACTTTCATGGTGTGGAGACAATAACTTGGTCCTTAACACCAATAAGACCAAGGAGCTTATAGTGGACTATACTAGAAGGAATAGATCAGACATCCAGCCCTTGCTTATCAATGGAGACTGAGTGGAGCAAGTGACCATTTTTAAGTTTCTGAGTGTTACCATAAAAGAAGACCTGACTCGGGGCACTCACATTGCAGCACTGGTCAAAAGGGCCCAGAAGAGATTATACTAACCTGAGACTTCTCAGGAAAGAACAACTGAATGAAAAACTGCTGGTGACCTTCTACCGCTGCACCGTAGAGAGTATTTTAACTTACTACACCTGTGTATGGTTTGCCAATTGCACAGTGGCAGATAGGTCAGTGCTCCAGAGGGTTAACATAATTGCCCAGAGGATCATTGGTTGCCCCCTCCCCTCTGTGGAAGAGCTTTATAGCTCCCGCTGCCTTAAGAAAGTTCAAAACATTCTTATCTCATCCTGGGCACCCCTTTTTTTTGAACTATTACCATCTGGCAGGCTGTACAGGACAGTAAAAACAAGGACTAATAGGCTGAAAAACAGCTTTTATCCCAGAGCAGTAACAATATTGAATTATATTGCATAGTGTAATATTAATGCAATACCAGGAGGTTTCAGTTCAATTGTATGGAATGTGAAGGATGTGTGTTTGTGTTTTATTTTTTATAATTATAATGTACACTGAAGATGGCATTTAATTTTGTTGTATGACAATAAACTAAACTAAACTAAACTGAACTGAACTGAACTGAACTGAACTGAACTGAACTGAACATTCCCACAAGACCTCAGAAAAGCTTTTGGACTTTTATTCCACGGTTTAACTCAAGTGAGATTTTAAAATATAGGATGGCTTTTGAATTAGGTAACCAGCAGCAAACACCTATTTGAAAACAAGATTCTGTCTTCCTATCTCTCTCCTCTCCACCCTTTCTTACAGATCATCCTGTCCTTTTCCGGATCTCAAACGAATCAAACACGGGGATCACAAGTTCACCAAAGTTGCTTACAAAGCAATGGCCACAGCTATTTAATGGTCCAAGAATGAAGTTTTTTGCTTTGCTGGGGAAAAAAAACAAAACTCCATAGATGTGAGTCAACATTGAACCACTCTGTTTTTAGAGTTCTGCCAGCTATTTTTTGGCAGCCTATCTCAAGTCAACAATAATAATAATAATATAAAAAAATGTGTGACTTTTAAGTAATGATTTACACACACAATTTGTAGAGTTTAAACCGCAGGTTCTTCTGCAGGTGAAAATAGGGGAAAGTGTGGATTGCCTAAAGCAGAGGTCTTAAACCTTGGCAGCTTTAAGACTTGTGGACTCCCAGAATTCTGAGAGTTGAAGTCCACAAGTCTTAAAGCTGCCAAATTTGGGGATCCTTGGGCTAAAGGCTACCTGGAGAATTTCTGGATTGAAATGAGATTGAGATCACAGATACTCAGCGCATGGCTAACATAATTCTTTATTAATATTTATTAATATTTCATGTGGTAGCAAAGTACTACCAACTCTCTGGAATATTCCAAGAACCTGGTTATTTTTTTTTAATCAATTCATTACATAACAATTTAAAGTATTTTTCTGGGAAAAGATCCAGCTATCATAAGAGGGGATTTAGTGTACCTTGGAAGAACGAAAGAACATAGGTGCGTTTTTCTGGCTTTCTGTGAATCTAGAAATGAAGCTTTGATTTGCACTGGCAACAGATCACACTGGCACCCTCCCAAGGAAATACGATTCATTGGAATTCATTGTCCTAGCTTAGATTATTATTCCAAATTACGAGCAGGAAAAAAAACCCCTCTGGGCTAACCAGGCATGTACAAAGATGGGGCCTGATATAAGATGATCAGAGTGATAATATTAACCATAAAGGTAAAGGTAAAGGTTCCCTTCGCACATATGTGCTAGTCGTTCCTGACTCTAGGGGGCGGTGCTCATCTCCGTTTCAAAGCCAAAGAGCCATTGCTGTCCAAAGACGTCTCGGTGATCATGTGGCTGGCATGACTAAACGCCAAAGGCACACGGAACGCTGTTACCTTCCCACCAAAGGTGGTCCCTATTTTTCTACTTGCATTTTTACCTGCTTTCGAACTGCTAGATTGGCAGAAGCTGGGACAAGTAGCGGGAGCTCACCCTGTTACATAGCACTAGGGATTCGAACCGCTGAACTGCCGACCTTTCGATCGACAAGCTCAGCATCTTAGCCACTGAGCCATCACGTCCCATAATATTAACCATACAGTGATGCAATTTTGCACCTGATTTTTGAGTTGTGAGTTTGCAGACTGGTCTTCTCCAGACTGAGCTCTTCCCAAAACAGAAATCAATTCTTTGGGAAGCACAGTTTCAGTTGCTAAACTGAGACAATCACTCAGAAGAAGACAATACAATGACAGAGGTTTTAAAACAGCCCTAACAAAAATGGATTTATTACCCCGATAGTCTTTTTTTTTTTTTTTAAACAGGCGTTTGCGGTCCTGGTTATTGCCTGCATCTCTTCAAGGCTACCCTAGAAGATGGCTAACATTGTGGAGAACAACTTATTGTACAATACTAAAGCTTTCAAGATACCTGGAAGCTTTTTTCTCCTTCCCACATCCCCTTGAATTGAATTAATCCATTGCCCCAGTGGAAGGCTCACATTGAAGCAACCGGATGGAGCAAACGAGCACAAATCTTTACCTTTGGCAGGAGGATGAGATGGAGTCATAAGCCCCAGATGAAGCGGAAGCTGGCAGCAGCGTCATCCGATGAACACCACTGTGAGAAGAAGCAACAGCAGCAGCAGCAGCAGCAGAAGAAGATGGACTGGCTGAAGCAGCAGGCATAGCAGAAGGAGTGCAGCTGATAGACACAGGCTCATGCTCAACAGGGGTACTAATTAAAGTTAAATTGGATAAAACAAGATGTATCTTTAAATGCCGGGCCTTGACAAGGTCCACCAAGGTGGTGGATCAACAAAGATACATAACAAAGAGGCGGGTGAACTTGCTTCAGGGTTTTGGAAGCACAGCTCAAAATGACAATGGAGATCAGGGTTATTGATTAGAGCAGTGATGGCTAACCTTTTTGCCGCCCTGGGTCTGCACTCCACGCATGCACGTGCGACCCCTCTGTGCTCCCCCGCGCATGCACGTATGACCCCCTGTACCCTGTTTTGGGCCTAGCATACCTCCCTGAAGCCTCCGGAGGCTGGAAACGATCCATTTCCCAACTTCCGGTGGGCCCGGTAGGCCTGTTTTTTTGCCCTCCCCAGGCTCCAGAGGCTTTCTTGGAGTCTGGGGAGGATGAAAACAACCTCCCCCAACTCTCCGGAGGCCCTCTGGAGGCTGAAAATGCCCTCCCAGAGCCTCCGCACAAGCCCTGCACTTACCTGGCATCCAAAATGGGCTGCATGGAGATTCCTGGGAGGGGAGGGGAGAGATGGCGTGGGTGCGGCCAGCTGAAAATCAGCTGGAGCTGAGCTAGGGCAACAGCTCGTGTGCCCACAGATATGGCGCCGTATGCCACCTGTGGCATGCGTGCCATAGGTTTGCCATCACAGGGTTAGGGCTTGAGCCCACTGGGGTGGGGTGGTAAGAGACTAAGAGAGTCCCCTCACCAATTCTCTGCATCCCACCTGTGGGAAGATCAGTTGGTCAATCCAGGGAGGAGATGTGATAGGATCTAGATCAGGGGTGTCAAACCCGCAGTGTCACGTTGTTGCCACATGACATATCGCAACTTTTCCCCCCTTTGCTAAACCGGGAGTGGCCATGGCCAGCATGTGATGCATCCGGCCTGCCTGCCCCAAGTTTGACACCCATGATCTAGATCATACACGTGGGGAAAGGATTGGCCTCTTTTTTTTTGCTATTGGATCTGCAAATTTTTAGCATCCTCTGAGCTGTTGACTCAAAAAAATGCAAAAGTGCATGTAATAACAAACAGGGTGCAAAAAGGGAAGGTGGAAGGAAAAAATGATAATATTTGGAGGCCTCTTGATACTGACAACGAGTTATTTCTTGAGTATATTCCTTAGCATTTTCTTCCTTTACCTAACTTGGCTGCTGTTAGAGCCCCTCCTTTCTCTCTTGCATGTGCTAAGTAGAAGGGCGGTCCTGTCAATTTTTGACCTCGTCATCAGTTCTCACATCGCTGCTGGTTTAAGTCATGCCTCACCTCGTTCACCCTCTTCTTTCTCTACTGACCTGTATAATTCCTTCAGGGAAAGTATTTCTGGGATCCAACCTGGGTCAAATGAACCTGAAGGCCTCATCTCAACTGTCCATTGTACACAGAGATGGTAGTCAGTCGATTCGCACTGGTTCGTGCGAACTGTTGGTGGAAATTTGGCCAAGGTTGCCGAACCGGTAGCGATGGCTGGCTGGCCATGCCCTCGAACTGGTCCCCCAGTCGCCACTGCTGGAAAGCATCTGGCAAAGAAGCCTTGGACTTGCAAGGCAATTGGATGCACGTGCGCGAAGAACATGGCGGTGATGGCAGCCATGATCTCCAGTACTTTTTGGTGGCCTGCGGCCAGCCGCCACTCTTTGAGAGCCGCTTGCAGCTAACGCTTCTTTCCAGCAGTGGCGGCTGGCTGGGAGCCACTGAAAACTCTGATCAGCTTGCCTCCTGGACCCTGGACCAGTTGCCGTGGAAAGTAAGCAGCCTGAACAAAGAGGCAGCGGTGGTGGAGGAAGCAGGGTTAGGGCCAGGACCACTAAAGGAGGAGAAATGGGGGTGACTGGCGAAGGGAGGGCGGGGGTAGATAGATGGAAATTCCAAAAATTTTCCTACCTTTTCCTGTGGGCATGGCTAGTGGGGGTGTGTGTCATGTGACTGAGTGGGCTTGAGTGACATCAAATTGGCCATGCCCACTCAGTCACATGCCCCACCTAGTGACACCCACCGAACAGGTAGCGAAAATTTTTGAAACCCACCAGTGATTGTACAGCTTTATCATCTGAACATGTCCTCTTTTAGGGGCTAAACTTCCTCAAAAACCAAATGTTTGCACGTCTTATTTCTCTAACTGTAGGGAACACTTCATCTCTTTAGGTATCCTCTTCTGACTGGAACAAAGCCTACCAGCTAACTTTCTACATGAAGGTGAAATTTACTTATCTGGAAGACCATTAAAATGTGGTCCACTTGTTAGTTGTGCTACTCAAAACGGTTGGGCTAGGCAATTTTCACGATCATCTACATTAGTTATTGGAGTCCATTATGTGATGCTGCATCTAATGCATGGAAGCCTATAATTAGAACACCTGGGCCTTGTCAAGCACATGATACCATTACAACATGGCATAGCAAATCGGTTATGAGACTCATCAAGAGCAAGCCAACCACTTCCCTGGCCTTCAGGAGAAAATTAGAGAGACGGGAAGTCTCAAGAAATGGCAGTCAGCATCCTACAGCAGGGATTTCCAACCTTGGTAAATTTAAGACTTGTGGACTTCGTCCCAGAATTCCCCAGTCAGCCATGCTATGGAATTCTGGGAGTTGAAGTCCGTAAGAGTTAAATTTGCCAAGGTTGGAGACCCGTGTCCTACAATTGGAAGTTATTCTCCAGCACCATCCCAAGGACATATTCAATACATCATTAATGACTGAAGCAAAATGCACCAACTTAACCTTATGGTTTTTTTCAGGAGCATTTTAAGTGTACAGCATGACTTAGCTGCCAAGAATTGTAAGTGAGACCCTTCAAACACCATTTCCATCATTTATATGAGCACCAGACATATAGCAGAGTTCCTTGATTTAATTTAATACCTCAGTGGATTTTGCCTTTATTAACTATTACCTCAGTGACAGCACCATCTGGTTTTCCAGTTACCAGTTAAAGGGAAGAGACAGTGGCAAGTGGAATTTGGGCAGTGACATGAATTGGACAGTGACAGGAAGTGGATCACTGCCAGCTTCTTTCACTGGTCCATTATTATAAGATCCTTACCAAGATTTGATATCCTGCAGAGCTGATCTGTTATTTTCTAACTGTTATTCATGAATTACCCTAATAGGTGTAAATCTAGAGTCCAGCTGCTTCAGGAAAGCTTTTTCCATAGACATTTTTCTCCACAGACCCAACCATAGCGTATCCTGTTGATATGGCAGAGACTATTTAGGATGTGTTTGGGTTCAACTCTGAGGTGTTTGGGCTGATAATTTGGACTTCATTGCATTGGTTGATCTCAGAGCTGGATCTGGTCCTGACATAATTTTGTAAGAGTTTACACTGGAATACAAGATCAGTGATACCCTGGAAAGCTCTTTAAGGTTCTCTTCTCTGAATATTTTAGTTCTTGAAAATTATGTTATTACTCTTTCTGTGAAATAAAAAAAATCTCTCGATCTGAATCCTCAGAATGCGCTTAGGTCTCTTTCCAAATATTTCAAGTCTGTGGTTAGTTATCCCACTAAAAAGAACAACATGTTGAAAGTTCAATGCATCTTATTTTTAGATGTTCCAATATCCTCCAGAAAAATATAAAAGGGAATGTTTTCTTATTCTTTTGCACACAAAAACCAGGGATGGGCTGCTGGGGGTTCTCAGGGGTTCAGGAGAACCTCTAGCTAAGATTCTGTGCAGTTCGGAGAACCCCCAAATCCCACTCCTGGCTGGCCCTGCCCACTCCACCCCCGCCCCTCCCAGGAGTCCCCACACAGCCCATTTTGGATGCAGGTAAGTGCAGGGCAGAGACTCGGGGAGGGCAAAAAACGGGCCTACCGGAAGTTCAGGAAGGCCGGAAATGGGCCCGTTTCCGGCCTCCAGAGGGCCTCCGGAGCCTGGGGAGGTCATTTTCACCTCCCAGGAGGCTCAAGGAAAGCCCCCAGAGCCCAGGGAGGGCAAAAATGCCCCCCCCACTGTGGTACAGGAGGCCGACTAGGCCACGCCCACCATGGCCATGCCCATCCAGCAACCGGCCAGAGAACTCCTTGCTAAAATTTTTGAAGCCCACCCCTGACAACCCCCCCCCCAATGTTCTACAGGTGGGTCAGGCAAGATGGAAGTTCAGGTTTGTTACTATCATCTACTACTCGACCTACTACAAATGGGCTTTGTTCATGTCCACTGTGGACAACTGTGATCCTGCAAAGTTTGAGGATCTCTACTGTAATACAGTTTCATACAAAGCATTAAGTACCCCACAGTCATCCCATTATGTATATTTTCCTTTTTTTCCTTTCTCTGGATTTTGTTCAAGCCCACTGTGGACAAAGGTGTAAATTTTGAGAATCTGTAATGTTGCATAGTTACGTACAAAGCATTTATCTTTAAGTACAGTACAGTCATCCATTATGTATAATTTCCTTTTTTCCCTTCTCTGTTTTATATTCTGTTTTCTGAAACTCTCTGTAGCAGTGGTGGGTTGCTCCCGGTTTGATCCGGTTCTTGCAAACCGGTAGTAATGGACGTCATCATGGACGATCTGCGCATGCGCAGAAATGCGCTTGCATCAGTGGTGGGTTTCAAAAATTTTTACTACCGGTTCTGTGGGTGTGGCTTGGTGGGCATGGCATGGCTTGGTGGGCGTGGCTTGGTGGGCATGGCAGGGGAGGGATACTGTAAAATCTCCATTCCCACCCCACTTCAAGGGAAGGATACTATAAAATCTCCATTCCCTCCCCACTCCAGGGGAAGGTTACTGCAAAATCCCCATTTCTTCCCAATCAGCTGGGACTTGGGAGGCAGAGAATAGATGGGGGCAGGGCCAGTCAGAATTTTTACTACCGGTTCTCCGAACTACTCAAAATTTCCACTACCGGTTCTCCAGAACTGGTCAGAACCTGCTGAAACCCACCTCTGTCTTGCATATTCCCGTTGCGAACTGGTAGTAAAGGTAAGTGGAACCCACCCCTGCTCTGTAGGCATCCCAAACAATCTCAAGCTAAAAGAAGGCCAGCAATGATTTATACCAATAAGTCATAAATAGTTCTATGATAATAACAATGTGATAGCAACTGAGATGAGGCTAATAAAAATCAGGAACGAAATCAGAAAAAAGAAAAATGAATGGGAAAAGAACAAAAGTTTTAAAAGTAACAAGGTCTAAGCAACTACAAGGTAGTCCTTGACTTAAAACATTTCATTTAGTGACCATCCAAAGTTACAATGGCACTGAAAAAAGACTGTTTTTCACACTTATGACCATTGCAGCATCCTCATACTCACATAATGAAAATGAAGAGACTTGGCCACTGACTCATATTTATGACGGTTATAGTGTCTTGGGGTCGTGTGATCATCTTTTGAGACCTTCTGACCAGGAAAAGTCAATGGGGAAGCCAGATTCACTTAACAACCATGTTACTAACTTAACAACTGTGGTGATTCACTTAGCAACTATGGCAAGAAAGGTCATAAAATGGGACAAAATTCACTCAACAACTGAAATCTTGGGTTCAGTTGTTGCCGTAAGTCAAGGACAAACTATACAACACTTCAAGCAGTCAGCCTATGACTCAATTTTCCATAGCCGTGGGCTTCAATTCTCTATTTATCTGAATATTAATTTGGTTTATATATGAAATAGATATTTTCTGTACACTCAGATATACACACAAATACGTTACCCTGTTTACAGTCAGGTGGCAGAGCTGCCTTCTAAATAAAGTACTCATAGAAATGTAAAGGAGAAATTCAAACTCTGTAATTTGCAGTGCATCAGTGTCAGTTTTAATCAGCGTTAAGATGTAGGACACAACTGCCACAGCTGGATATAAAGAGGATAAGCTTCTCTTATGAAAGGGTGTGTGCATTAAGAATTCACATAAGGCATTATAGACCACCATATAGGTCTCTGTGGCAGCGTTTCTCACCCCTATTGAAGATGTGTGGACTTCAACTCCCAGAATTCCCTGTGCTGGCTGGAGAATTCTGGGAATTGAAGTCCACCCAACTGAGCCACCCATCGCCTGACTAGGTGGCTCAGTGGCTAAGACGTTGAGCTTGTTGATCAGAAGGGTCGGAAGTTCGGCGGTTCGAATCCCTAGTACAGGTGTCCTGTGTGAGCAGGGGGTTGGGCTAGATGACCTCCAAGGTCCCTTCCAACTCTGTTACTGTTACTGATCTTCAATTTGCTAAGGTTGAGAAACACTGCTCTAGGGAATAATTTATATGAGAGTTAGACATTTGTAACTCTCCTTCAACAGGTGTGTAGGAAGTGGGTTTTGCATCTTTAGAATCCATAGAATAGAATAGAATAGAATAGAATAGAATAGAATAGAATAGAATAGAATAGAATAGAGCTGGAAGGAACCTTGGAGGTCTTCTAGTCCAGCTCCCTTCTCAAGCAGGAGAACCTACACTATTTCAGAGAAGTAACTGTCTAGTTCAGAGGTCTTCAAACTTGGCAGCTTTAAGACTTGTGGACTTCAACTCCCAGAATTCTCCAGCCAGCATAGCTGCCAAGTTTGAGGACCCCAGTCTAGCCTCCAGTGATGGAGCACCCACGATTTCTGGAGGCAAGATGTTCCACTGGTTAATTGTCCTTTTGGTACGCCACATATATAGTACACAGACACCAATCCAATACTTTGGGCAATTGTCCTCCATCCTCATTGATTGATTGAATTTTGTATTGATTAGGGAAACGACAGCTTTTCAAAACCTGTAAAGCAGATGAGATACAGACATATACTCTATATTGACAGGTTTGACAGGTTCTCCCCGGAGACTTCCCCATAATTTTAACGCTGTGTTAAAATTGCAGAAATGCTCCACAACCACACAACAACTTTTTGATAATGATGAGTAAGAGAACACATAGCTCAGGTGAAAGAAAAGAAATTCCTTACCATGGCAAGGCTACAGGACACGCACAAGGCTACTTGTATTGGCGCTGGCTCTTTAAGAAAAAGGCTGAGATACATTGATTGGGAGCTAATATGAAAATGTGTCTGATCTTTAGGGCTCAGTTTTATTACTGTTTGCTTGGAACCTTCAGTTCCTTTTTTTAAAAAAAGTTTTTTTGAAACCAGGGAAGTAGAATTAATGGGCAAAATGATTGCCTTACATCTTGTAGGGATACACGACATCGGAAAAATGCCTCCCCTAAATAAGTGTGTATTTAAATTTATTCTGGGGAGGTTTCTGCCCCTTCACGCTCTTCCCTAATGAAGAAAAGGGGGTCCAAACATTTCACCCTGTGACATTGCAACGTTCACTCCTTCAGCCTCCATGCAAAGAAGAACCAGTGCAAAAGAGCCCAGTGGTGAAATTCAATTGACTACCGCTTCTGTGGGCGTGGCTTGGTGAGCATGGTGTGGCTTGGTGGGCATGGTTTGGTGGGCGTGACAAGGGAAGGATACTGCAAAATCTCCATTCCCACCCCACGCCTGGGGGAAAGATATTGCAAAATCTCCATTCCCGCCCCACTGTGGGGCCAGCCAGAGGTGGTATTTGCCGGTTCTCTGAATTACTCAAAATTTCCGCTACCGGTTCTCCAGAACCTGTCACAACCTGCTGGATTTCACCCCTGAAAGAGCCCCTCCCTGAGGTCATGAGTGCTCAAAACATCTATTATTTTTTTTAAAAAATGTACATACTTAAAATTGGAAAGATGTACTATATCTCAAGCAGAACTCAAGCTGGTTTATATTTGAAATTTAATACGCACCTTGACTGAAATGGAACTCAATCTCAAAAGAAGGCTTCATGTCTGCGTGCGTACACACACACTTACAGGTATAAGACAAAGTGTCAAGTGAATTAAAGACATTTCATAGCTGAAATACATAGTCTACCCAAGGACCTCGTTGACCCAATAGCCACAAATTCAGGATTAGGTTAGGAGGCTTTAAAAGTCTACTATTAGTGAGGTGCATGTAAAAGTTCATTACGCGCTGGATCTGAGACTGGGAGGAAACATGGAAACGAACAGAAATACACATTACCTGTTTTCAGTCGCTACAGCAACATGTTTCTTGCCACTGTGGAAGGAGGGGAATAGTATGAATAAATTGAGTGGACAAGCCCTAGTGATGGAGGAGGGTGTTAATTGAAAGTAGGCAGAACAGAAGGCATTTCCGGCTTGCTTGGTTACACACAACAGCAGGAAAGTCACTTGAATATTAAGGGAAGCAAGTTGATCACAAAAGACTGAGTTTCAGTTCTTGCTGGGATATGATGAACCTCTTTCTGTGCATCTGAGGCATGGCCCTTTATCTCCCTTTCAATCCATCCATCCATCCACCCATCCATCCGTTCATCCATCCATTCAGGAAATCAGCTTGCCTAGAAATCAGCTTGCCCAGATGTCCCCCTGATTTCTAGATTTCGAGCCTGGAGAATTAAGTCTTGTTTTCACTAAGAAAAGAGAATCATCCAATCCATACATTTCGAAAGTTAGCTTGCCTAGAGGTCCTCCTTGACATCTAGGTTTATAACATGGAGAGTTTTAAATCTTGTACTTGGTACAAAAAGGCAATTAGACCTGACAGTCCCTGTCCTTGGCCTTGAGTGAGGACACTGGAGAACAATTATATATTATTTCAGTGCACCCACTTCCTCGACAATTGAAAGAACTGATGGATATCCTCTAGCCAGAACTCACAATGTCTTGAAATAGAGTTGCAGATGCAATCCTATGACTCTTGGCTGAGTGAGAATGAAAAGACCTTGTGTTTAACACAGCTTCCTCCCCAGAAAATATGCATGAGACTGGAATCCCAATAAATGATTATGTTGGAAATTACATAATATTGGAAATTGCACCTAATGAGTCTCTTAGACCAGTTGAGCAAAGGGCAAGAAGGGGTGGGATTCAGCCGGTTCGGACAAATTCGGGTGACCCGGATGTTAATTTTAATTTGGTTCGGCGAACCGGTTGTTCCGAGGACTGGCTGACCTTGCCCACCCTACCCCTCCCCTCCTAGGAGTCTCCTCATGGCCCATTTTGGATGCCAGGTAAGTGCAGGGCATGCACAGAGGCTCTGGGAGGGTGAAAAATGGGCCTACTGGAAGTACCGGAAATCTGGAATTGGGCCCATTTTCAGCCTCAGGAGGGTTTGAGTTTGAGTTTATTTAGATTTATATACCGCCCTACTCCCGAAGGACTCAGGGCGGTGAACAGCCATAGATAAAACAGTTGTTACAACCGGTGAATCCCACCACTGCCCGTGGCCAATATCGCTCCCTCTCCCTCCCTCCCTCCCTCCCTCCCTCCCTCTTCGTCAAATTATGAAACCACCCATCACACTCACAGAGCAACTCTGGGCAGTGTATAATTAAAAGTATAAAAATCAAATAAATAGCATATTTGAACTGGAGGCAGATAAAAATTGGAGTAGAACAATGAAAGTTTTTTTTTTTTTTACTTTAACAACTTTGTGTTTATGAGATAAGGGGACTTAATCTTCCTCTTTCTTGTTATTCTCCCTTCAAGATATAAATTAGGCAGAAATGATAGCTTTCAAAAAAAAATAGTATTTTTCTTTAACTTGGCTTGTTTGGGATGAGTATCATTGCAATACAAATGACTAATACCTTTTCAGAGAGAACTTCTTAAAAAAACCAAACCCTGAATTTCCTGACATACATATGTGTTTGGCAATCCAAAGCTGGATTGCCAAACACAATCCAGCTTTTCCCCTTCAGTTCAATCATTCCATTTATATGCAAATATATATTTAATTGAGGAATCGTATGAACGTTAACTGATGAATGACTGCGATTTCTGAAATCTGGAGACAGCTGCAGTAAGAATATCTCGGCGATCCATACAGAGTTAGATTTCCCCCTAGCAGATGTGTGAGGACTGAACGAACCATCAAGCATCAATGCTAATCTGTCAATTAATAAAATGTTGGAACACAAAGGACACAAGGGCACTTTCATCACTTGTTGATCATCTGCTTCTGTTCTTGTCAACGAGAAATGTCTGTTATTTGTCCCTTCCCTTAGCATATGGCTTATTCTCTGTCTCTCAATTAGACCCTTAGTTTCAGCACGTGCGTTTTTGAATCAAATAGAATCAAAGAATTCCTTTTTTTTTTTTTAGGTTTTCACAAACTCTAGGCCAGCATTTCTTAACCTTGGCAGCTTGAAGATATGTGGACTTTCAACTTTCAGAATAATGGAATAACAAAATTGGAAGGGACCTTGGAGGTCTTCCAGTCTAACACCCTGGTCAGGCATGAAACCCTATGCTATTTCAGACAAATGCTTGTCTAATCTCTTACTAAAAACTTCCAGTGATGGAGGAGCACCCATAACTTCTGAAGACAAATCATTCCACTGATCAATTGTTCTCACGGTCAGGAAATTTCTCCTTAGTTCTAGGTTGCTTTTCTCCTTGATTAGTTTCCCTCCATTGCTTCTTGTCCTGCCTTCAGGGGCTTTGGAGACTAGTTTGACTCCCTCTTCTTTGTGGCAGTCCCTGAGATATTTGGAACACTGCTGCCATGTCTCCCCTAGTCCTTCTTTTCATTAAACTAGACATGCCCAATTCCTGCAACTGTTCTTCATATGTTTTAGCCTCGAGTCCCCTAATTGCTCTTGCCTAGAATTCGCCACCCTGAAGAAAAGCATACAGGTTTTTTCAAACGTGTTTTTTTTTTCCAAAAGGCAACTGGACTTATTTTGTTTTTCCTTGAAGACGTTTTGCTTCTCATCCACAAGGCTTCTTCAATCAACTGAAGGACTGAAGAAGCTTCTTGGATGAGAAGCAAAATGCCTTCAAGGCAGGCGTGGGATTCAAAAATTTTAGCAACCGGTTCTCTACCCGGTTGCTGGGTGGGTGTGGCCATGGTGGGTGTGACTACTCCTGCACTGCCATGGGGGGAGGGCGTTTGCACCCTCCCCAGGCTCCAGAGGCTTTCCTCAAGCCTCTGGGAGGGCAAAAACGGCCTCATCTGGACTCCAGAGGCCCCCCGGAGGCCAGGAATGGCCCCATTTCAGGACTTCCGGTACTTCTGGTAGGCCCATTTTTTGCCCTCCCAAAGCCTCCACGTGGGCCCTGCCCTTACCTGGCATCCAAAACGGGCTGCGTGGAGACTCCTGGGAGGGGAGGGGAGGGGTGGCCGGGCCGAGCCAGTCCTTGCAACTACTGGTTCAGCGAACCAGATGTAAAATTAGCATCTGGTTTGCCCGAACCGGCTGAATCCCACCCCTGCTTCAAGGCAAAACAAAGAAAGTCCAGTTGCCTTTTGAAAAAAAGCACCTTTGGGTCAACCATAGCCTGGATGACTGACGATCTCCATAGACATCCAGATTGACTGGTTGACGGCTTACGAAGGGTAGGTTATGATTGACCCAAAGGCAAATAAATAATAAATGGGAACTAGTTCAGTTGCCAAGTTTCTTGTAATGCTTTGCCTTTGATTTCAACAAATATTGCTAAAGAAGGCTCTGTTTAAAGCACGCTGGGTAAAAGTCACTGGGCGGAGGTCCAACTGCTTGACAGCCATGCTTGGCTGAATTCTCTTCAGCAAAGTGAAACAATTAAGCAGATCAGCAAATTGAGCACATTACCCATTGCAATTTGTTGTTTCGCTTTACTCTTCTACCAGTTTGCAGCGGGCACAAAAGGCTGCATAAATCTTACCTATTTATTATTTTATTTAAACACTTATACGGAAAGAACTATTCTGCAGTGGTGGCAGGGACATTGTGAAATAAAGAAATGAAATAGAAGGATATGAAAGAACGAAATAAGACGGTTTCCTTGTAGCAGAAATGAAGCCAATTCCAAGGAAATAGAAAGTACAGATCTCAACAAGCAGGGGTTCGTTTTAAATTAGGTAATACTTTGGATGTCAGCTGTTATGATTCAAATAATTCTTCTTACTGCCCCCCAAAAAAGCGATATTGTATGATATAATGGCCGATGGAGAAGAATCGTGCTAGTGATTACTCTCCGTTTTTGCACCAGAATCGAATGCAATTCTGGAGCATACGCCTCAGGCCAATTCCCACATGCCTGTTTATCGTCTGATGATTTAAATATCAAGTAACAACTTGTGTGAGTAAGCTAACCGTGATCGCACAAGGCCAAACTTCTGCAGGAGCAACACCATTCAAGGGAATTGGCTCTGACATGAAAGAGGGAGAGACTTTCGAAGATGTGCAATCAAAAAAAGAAAAAAGTATGTACAAGGGTGAACTTCCACGTCTTTTGGGGTGCAGTATCTAACTATTGAGAGCGCTGATAATCTCTTTTCTGTTTTACTCCACATTGACTGTCCCAGTGGTGAAATCTAAAATTTGTTACTACCGGTTCTGTGGGCTTGGCTTGGTGGGGGTGGGTGGGTAATGTGACTGGGTGGGCGTGGCCAATTTTTTTTTTACTTTTAAAACCATTTTGTACATGTAAAACCATGTAAAAAAAAATGCTTTCAAAAGGCTCTGATGATCTCAGCTGAGTTGCCTGATCGTCAGAGCGTTTTTAAAACCCTCTGCCGATCAAGCAACTCAGCTGGGATCGTCAGAGCTTGACTCGTCAGAGGCATTTAAAAGAAAAAAAGCCTCTGATGATCGCGCGGCTCAGCTGGGCATGGGGGGGTGGGGGCAGGGAGTTTTGCTACCAGTTCTCCGAACTGACCGCCGCCATCGCTACCTACTCGCCCGAGCCGGTCCGAACCGGGAGCATTTCACCCGTGGACTGTCCCAAAGGTGCTTTTTCAAAAGACAACTGGACTTTGGTTTTCCTAGGAATGACAAAGTCCAGTTGCCTTTTGAAAAAGCACCTTTGGGACAACCATGACCTGGACGACTGACAATCTCCATTAGACATCCACATTGACTGGTTGACCAACACCGCTTACAAAGCCAAGTCAAAGTGGCTGTAGAAACTCCCTTTCAATGTCCCACAGAACCAGTGGTGGGCTGCCCCTGGTTCGGACCGGTTCGCAAGAACCGATAGTAAAACTGGCAGGAGGTCCCGCCCACTGCCCCGGATCTTGTCATTGGCAATTGTGCATGTGTGATCCTG